AAGGACGGGTTTACTGCGCAGCAGTACGTCCCGTCCTACTTTATGGCAGTGAAACATGGCCGGTAAGAGTAGGAGATATTCGTAGGTTACTAGTATTCGATCATAGATGTCTTCGAAACATTGCTCGTATACCCTGGGACCATCGAGTAAGTAACGCAGTTGTTAGGAAACGAGTACTAGGTAAGGATGGCAAATCAATTGATGAAGTAGTGAAACTTCATCAGTTGAGATGGCTGGGACACGTGTTACGTATGCCCAACGACCGACTGCCTCGACGTGCGATGTTCAGTGGTATAGCAGTAGGTTGGAAGAAAGCTAGGGGCGGCCAGACCAAAACATGGCACAAGTCCATCAAGTCACTGACAAGTGGTCTGAATCATGTTGATAGGTGTAGACTACCTGGTTGGGGACCGCGAGATGATAGCAACCGAGGGCTAGAGACCTTCAATGACATGGCTCAAAATCATTTGCAATGGCGCAGGTGCATCCACTCTTTGTGTTCTCCAAAATTTTAATCTCCTGATTCCCCCTTGTCTCGTTCTTTTTCTCTTCCCAAATTTATTTCACTGAATTATACTCTTTGAATAACATCTCCAAACCCTAATCTTCCCGATTACTGCTTATACTCTTACTACCTCTACCACTACGGGATTTGAATCTACCACAGCATCTCTGTGCTAATGTGGTGTGGCAACTCGAAGTGATGTACGTACGTACTTTCGACCTTGTTACTGACTGACTGGACGTGGATATGACATTCGTCGCGGAAATAATCAAAAGGCATCACAAGAAAATCTCTATCTGAATAGAGGGCAGATAGTATGAAAACGAATGGCAACTGGAAAGAATTAATAGAAAAGTGTTCGATAAAGAATACTGTTCGGCGGCGCATTTTCCTCCATGAGGAGTAAAATGTAAATGACCAGAACTACACTTCATGTATGAGTGATTTTGTTAGATCTCAATGACCTTACTTGCCCTTCAAACTACTTCGATACGAAGTTATAACTTCGTAACGTCGTCAGGTAGGTGCTGTAACGAATGCACATTGTAAACTATGTGTTCACACCCATAACACCATTCATATTCATTCATGAAGTTTAGTAATTCTATTTTGGCGGTTTCTACAACACTTTTATGTAGTTTGGGATGTGCAAGCAGATACATGGATAACGCTAAACGCCGGAAATTAAGATAATAAGGTTGTGGCAATGTCTTTTCAAGAATCACCGGGCCTAAATATAGCAGGAACAACCTACATTCAGAAGCTTTCCATGCCGATACAAAGTCTAGTGTACGGCATTTACGGGGAAAGTCAGAAGGAGTACTTGCCAAACAACCGGATATTAAATTGTTTATGTCTCTAATTGCACATGAATTAAAGTTCCGCAGTCTTCGGCGTGCTAAATCTATCCATAAATTAGCTAGTTTTTTGGTAACACCAAAATACACCATGTGCATAGGATCCAGAGTAAAAGTTACAATCATATTAATAGAAAGCGTTTCCATTATAGAATGTCCTTGATGGTGAATTGATTGAGTCTGACGACGGAAAGTGTCGTCTGTTCTTAAAGTATATAATCCATTTGGAAAGGTCGTTTTCCCCTCAAGTCGTCTCCCAACTACAATACATCTATCGCAACCTGCCTTACCGTTGTGGTTAACCGTGTACCTAACAGAAGAACGAGCAGGTGCGTCACATATAACAGCCGCCAACCTAATAGCTATACATTTATTAAACTTGTCACTAAATAGACCCACGTCAGTCATTTCTTTTATTTCAGAAATTGTGTCCGCAGAAAAATCGTTGAATTCTGCCGGCTTACTATTCTCTCCGTAGATCCCTATCAGAAACACGTCACTAAACCTAGGGGAAATGATACGTCCTAGCATAGGCCATAACTGTTGATTGGAGCTTTTAGACATAGAAAGTCCATCTACATTGAGATATGAATGTAAAGAGTCAAAATCAGTAGTACGCAACCAAAGCTCAACGTATCTTAGCAGATTGGTTTTCAATCCTAGATGGTAATAAACCCCACTGCCGATAAACTTTGGTTGAACACTTGGACACGTCTTTAGGACACCTCTTATGCTTTTCGGTATGTCCGGGATAAGAAATCGTAAACCATACAAAACCCGATCAGCATCTCTTATGCTGAGAGATGTATTTGACACTAGATACATCATGAAGTCGTTCATCAGTTGTTTGCGATTTACGAAATTATGAGAGCACAAGTCCACTTCAGGAGATCCTATAAGATATATATTCGCGTGTGAATTTAATATACATACCACTATTGTCTGCAAGCCTTTGGTTGATGTTGCTAGTGCTTGGTGTTACAGTTGAAGTACCGTCATTATAATTGATATCCGCCTTTACTTCTACCAATTTAATAAATAATACTGTTGAACTCAGTTACCTTTTAGAGTGCTTTCATTAGCAAACTCACTGAACGAAAGGAAGTCATATTTTTTCATTAAAGTAGCTCTCATTTTATTCCACCTCCTATTATAAGTAGTTCTGTGACAACCAAGGGAAGCTGACAAGTTCACAGTGGCCCTACGTCTACGAACATTCTCACTGACATCATAAAAAGTCATATTATTGGCCTAAGAAGATAATCAGTAACAATAAACCTTAAATCATGAGAACACGTCACTCACCTGCATCACGTAAGTTTTTTGTGATGGCTCCAAAGCATGTCGGAACACTTCAGCTAAACAACAAACGAAGTCACTCTGTATGCGTATCAACCGAATGCCTGGTTCCGTATCTCGTACATTGTTTCTATGACAATACTTTTGTTTCTTTACTAAGCGGCGCCTTCATTTGTCGAAGTGTATGAAAACTTCTGTTCCGGATGCGGTTCATTCAAACACTGTACGTTACGTAGAATTGTCGACAAATTTCCTCCAAATACACGACGTAAGGGTAACCGACGTAAAGGCGAAAAAGCGACATTTCCCCTTTCGTCCGCTTTATTTCCCCTTTTTGTGTTGCTTGGGTCTCTTAACAGATGGGTATGATAAAAGGTTTAATTTAGACTATGGTTCTGAAGGAATCTGAGATTAAGTCACCAAAGTAATCATTTAAAATCCAGATACAGAGCATACACTGTTGTGTGCGTAACTGCAAATCAAGCGAAACAACTTATTACGAAGATTGGTAACCAGGCGCCTTCTCACCATTGACATCTTTAAAGAAGAACAAATCATAATATATAGATTCAGTGCAGTCCTCCCGTTCATCATCTTTATTCTGCACTTACTGGTGCTAAATGTACGTATTAGTACTAACTGACCAAACATGCAGCGCGCTTTCTGGGTTGCCGTTCTCGTGGTGATATTGTATCGATCAACAGACAACACAAATAATTGAATACACGCTTCCTCTGATTGGGGCAATCAACACTAATCGTCTATCTGGATAATCGAGATAATACTTATGCCTTCCTAACAGACAACCACAGTTGTGGTTCTCGAATTCTGGAGATTTTATTTGGATTTGAGAATTGTATCTGTTGCCATCGTATGTATAAAATCAAAGATTTCAAGATTGCAGAACCACATAACAGACAAAAAATCTGCTTTCTTTCTCCCACGATGTAAAGTACTTCCTAAGAAAACGGTAATCTATGTTCCCACTTAAGGTGTGGTATGTGTATAACTGCGACCCCTTTATAGCGCGCCTATTACTAATCACAACCGTATTACGTCAAGCTGTACCCAACTAGTTCTACCTGCCTTGAATAGCACCACTTCGGAAATTCTTAGCTAGCTCATAAATTTGAATACTTACAACTATAATAATATCCGACTGTTTAATTTATTCAAAACTACTTGAGAAGTCTTGATACTTGAAGGGGTGCTACATCTCATTTTAAAGATTGCTGAAATATATAAGCTTACTAATTATTAAATCGCCAATAAACATAAGAGCAGGAGTGGCCCAAAGATAAGATATTATCGTTCTTCAATGGAGACTACCAACTAGTCTAATGGCTCAAATATTATAATATTCATCGGTCCCAATTTTAAGTCAAGAGGTTTATATCTCTTATGAACCCATTAGTGTGCCGCCCACCAACATGCCAGAGGACGTTGAAGCTTAAGATGAAATCCCAAAATGGAGACATTACTCGTATCTGCAGAACTTTATCGACCTTTGAAGGAAAGATACCTAACCTTATACTCATCCCAGCGTGTGACTGTCTCACATCTAATAATTCTACTCAGAAATCAAGACTTAGTAAAGTGAGTCTTGATGTCTTAACGTTGTGCGACTAATCAATTAACTAAGCTATGAGACCGCAGTATCATTATTCATGGATGAACTATGTATTTAAGAGAGTACCTCAGAAAACTGATACATCCTAATCATTACAAGCCTCCGTAGACTGATTGTCTCTAGGTGTAGGGATTCGTACTCACTTACGACACAGTCACTGTTAGTGACGTTTTGGGAAAAATACATTTTATTTTTAAAGAAAAGAATCTGCACTTTCCTGAGACGAGAGGTTAGATTCACGGACTTTGGTTGGCTTAACCTACTGAAAGTCACATAGTTGAAACCATAGATAAGGAAGACTAAATTCAGCAAGTGTATTTTTACTAAGGTAAAATATCCTACTCCTTAGATGATTATACTCTCCAGAGCTATTATTCATATACTTTGGAACGACGCTAATTCTATACAAGATAGTCACAAATCAAATCAAATCTGGGAGCTGGAACCTAGTAGACTGTTAATCATTGGTAGACAGCCTTAGTGATATAATATGAGATTGATGACATAGCAAAAAACAATTTATGAAGATTCCTCCCCTCCTAAATAACACTAATTGGAATCTAATTTAACTGCACCATTGCCTTAGCTAAACCACTGCATAGCTTGCAGAAACCGGATCGACCAATAGATATGCATACTCGAGTGCCGGAAAAACGAAGTCCAGGGGACTCAATAACGGTTATTTTGAGAATGGAAGACGATGACCAATCCAAAATGAAGTAACTGTATTATCAATCTATATGAAAAGATTGTGTTAAACACACACACTCTACTAAAATACAAGTACGTCTCTAAACATATTAATCTTTAGTCTTGGTTATTTACATACCACGAAAATTGGGGATAATGTTCCAAAAATGACTAGCAGAATCTAATTCAAGTTACATTAGAACAGCGAGTGAGTTAACTACAACATTCTCCTTCTAGTAACGTTTGTTGAATGTCCTCTAACATCTGGGTCACTTTATAAGATTGGTGGTGAGAATGATAATAAACAGTAAATCTAAACAAATCTTAGACTGAGATGTTCAGTTCGTGTTATTCGGATAATTTTATCCCATTCAATCTTTTAAGGGAAAGTAAATAGGAAAATAGGATGGAAGAATAGAACAAGAACAGAAATTACAAAAGTGAGTAAAGTAACGAAAACTCGTACGAACACTGTAGTTATCTACAAAATAGAACAATGATCGTCCTCTGAACTATGGAATGTGACTGCCTAGTCATTCTTAAGCGAGAACTTATCGTTTCTGTGCTTGAAATCGACCTCAAGAGCACAAACGCGAGGAACCCACCCACGAATTCTGACAGAATCTGTAAAGAAGTAAAAAGAAACCGAAAGTAAGAAAACATTCAATCGTTAACCAAACAGAGTTAAGTTTGAAGCAATAATAATGTTTCTGATCAGAATTCTCTGTGTAAATTAAAAAAGTGATAAGCATTACAATAATAGTTGAACATTTTTGACCTAGGAGCAACCTAGAAACATCAAGAAAGATGCTCACTGACCAATGATAATATTAACGAGTGCTATATTTATAGATGATGAAGGAGAATCACTATATTGATTATGTGCTGCTCCATGAACCAAACGAGGGAAAATTTCGTGTCTATGTTATTATTATCTAATCTATTACGCAACTAACTGGCAGCATTTCTAAAGAACGTAGCATATTTACGAATTGAAAACTGAATATTAATGCTAGCAAATTACCTGAAAAATCAGCAGAACAACTTTCAGAAGGGACCAAATGGCCATAAATCCAGTACCTGGTAAATGAAACAATAGAAAATAATAAATACCTTCAATAAATGAATTTACAAGCAAAAATATCTGTTAAATCCATATACAATGGTCAATATCCAGAACACTATAAAATAAACTTTCCACCCATATACTTATATTAACAATGCATGTAAAATATCTTCGGTGACGCAAAAACTGAAGGAGTTCAATAATAGTAAATTGTGATCATAAAGAAATCCAAAACCAAGCAAATACCTTTCAGAGAGAAACCGAAATATGGGTCAAAAGATACAAATATTACGAAGATATCCCTTGATGAGGTAGCTTCTGACTACGGATTTCGTTAAATGTGCAATAACAATTCAAGATACGAATGAAACAACGAGAGGTAATCGATAGACAAGGCAAACAGCTAAATTAAAAATATTGTAATTATGGTGAAAGCGTTTATGATTAGCTAATAATGGGTTGGAATGAAATTTTATTACTATTTAGATTATATTTGAATAATTTGAACAATCGATTATGAAACGAGAAACAAGTACAATAAGAAAGTTAAAGCTTAACTCTAGTATAAAGGACTTTTTAGGAAAATAAGATGCATATGAAGTACAATAGAAAGGTAAGTGAAATGTACTAATAACTAGACCTGTAAGAATATGTACGCATAATAAGTGAAACACACTGATGACTAGATGGAGCACACTCAACAAAAACGTGATATACAGAATTTTCGGAAAAAGGGGTTGAAGAAGCACGCTTATCATATCAGCAAATAAAACTACTAATTGGATGTTGGAAACTTATTAACAAAATACATGAAACCATAACAAACGGCTTTCAGAGAAAATGTAAAGGCAGTTAAACGAACGGTCTACCATCTAAGAACGATAGACGTAGCTTTTCAGCTTATAGGAACAAAAATAAACAGATTACGTTTTGCTATACGTAGCTTAAATACGGTGTATTAAAACAAAGAAGCACTATGTGAGGTGAGTGAAGCCACATAGATACATATTAGTTTCTAACAAAACGGTCATTCTATTTAGTAAAAAAATTGTGGTACTAGTGAAATCTGCTGAACGTAAACGTGATATAAATTGATTGTATCCCCTGTGTCTTAACATCTGCTTTCATTAAATAAGATATCTAGTATTTAAATTAACAACTCACTGGGTAAATAAAATCGCATAATTACGCACGAAAATAAAGTCAAAACTAAATTGGAAGAACGAAAAGTGCTAGTGCAGAAAAATCAACTTCTTAAAAACTTAAGATAACAGAAAGATGAGTCATCATACCTCGAAATTCCATTTTGTGTATTTCGTTCTCGTACGGAACTACTTAGCATTATGAATTTGCAACCACATATGGGGTTAAGTCCAACTTATGGATCGAACAGTTCGTGTCTAACTTCAATCAATTCTCAATACCAGCAAATAACCTTGAGAGGTAATTCCTGAAGTTATAATGATGAGCCGTGACCAGGTATAGTTCAACTATGTCGGAGGGCATGAGAAAAACATCACAAATGGTAATAGATGATGGTCGTGCAGTATCGTGAATTGACCAAAGTTAGAAATGCAAATCACTGGATCTCAAACCCAGTGGTCTAGAGGTCCAGCACTCGTTGGGAAATCTGAAAGTCGTGCATTCGATACCCGGCGGGGTCGTAGACGACTACTACAGGAGAGTCTCGTTGCAGGACAAAACAGCTGTCTAATGCTTTTCGGTTTACGATGTGTCTAAGTAGGATCAGTTCGTATTGTAATCTATGAAATATTCATCACACGGAGTTAAAATATACAAAAAGATTGAAATAAATATAACAAAGTTAATGTAAATTTTAAGCACTTTGATAATCATACGAAAACCATATAGTAAGATTGGGATTACACTTTCTTGAGTCAACAACACCTAACACTAATCAGATGATCTTATGTTTTCCATATCTCATTCCCATTATCAAAGGATACAAACTGAAAAGCCTACAGTTTATTATATGTTATCTGTTCATAAGTCAACTTAATATAATTACCCTAAGTTCTTCTCTAAACCACGATGATCACACCACACAACAGAAATCCTATATTTAAGAAGAAATAACAATGTGCACTGAATGATGTACTTTGAAAAACGACGATCCAGTTTTTAGCATATGTTGGATTACTATTTCGTCATTTAATAAAACAAACCACTGAACAAACTTTATTGAGATAATAAATGAATGCAAACCAGTCTGAAAGTACTAGTTTAGAATGCTCTTACAAAAAAAATATCACTTTGAAGCTCTTCTAATGAAATTTTAGTACGATTTTGGGGAACATACGTAAATTAGAAATTAGATTAATCAATCTAGATACATATTACTGGATTATTATTTGTTTATAGGTTGAGCCCCTACAGTTAGTTTTTTTCACTTCAAACAATATCGAATGCCTTTCGCTTACTTTGTTCCTCTTGTCACCATAAGAGCATCACCGACACGTACAGGTATTCTGGGTTCTTCAAAACATGGGGAACGTATCGCAGTTAGACATCCATAACGAAAACACATACACCGACTCCCATCATAATTTTGGGTAATTTTGAATGTGCGCTGAATTTTTTGTTTCAACCTTTTCTGATAGATCTGTTCCAACTGGCAGAATATAACGAAACTATACAAGTAAAACTAAAGCTGAATGTGACACAAGAGCAATTATGAACCATTATTAGTAAATATTATTTGACAAGAATTAAATATTAAAAAACGTCCACTATTCAAATTGGTAACCTTGGCTAAAGTAGACTTCTATCTACAACGACTAATTACTATTTTAATGAAGTTTCGTACTGAATATCGAAATAGCTTACTTATCGTTTGAAAATTATAAATGCAAAGAATGTAGCAATTTAGCTACCACTGGTTTAATGTATTTAATACTTCAAGTCGATAAAAACATTACAGCATAACTGAATTGAGACAAAAGCTAACTCAAAGAGAAACATACATTTACATTGTAGTAGTGACTATTGGAAAAACTTAACATTTTGGAGTAAATATTGTATAGTACGCCTTTTTTGCATATTAAATTGAGTTAAGCAATGCAACGACATTTTACGCAATCAAAACAAACACGAAATTGAGTAGAGAAAAATGCTGTTAGCCTGTTTTTGACAAGTTGTGTCAGCTACTTCGCTGACAACTTTTAGGAGCATTTACTTCCATAATATATGTAAATCATTTACATTTTTTTCCTTTATCATTACACCGAGCTAATCAGACATAGCTAGCTAAAACAAACAATATAACAGTAGTATGCATTGCATTAGTGAAAGTGATAAAGTACGAACTAAGTATAAGGGAATAATAGGCTATCTGACATTCACATTGATGTTATTCCGGCCTTTTGTATACTCATATATACACACAGATTGTACGTAATATACATCGCCAATTAAGCCGCAGGACTGGTTCGACCAAACGTTATGACGATTAGCTGATTACCGATTGGAATTACAGACCATAAATGGTTTGAATTACTTTTTTGGTTAGCGTTTTTTTAGCGCATTAGTTTTCTACTTAATAGAGTCGCTAACCTCATGCCCAATCCTCCCCCTTTATCCGGGCTTGGGACCGACAGGCGGACCATATATTCTCTTCATCTTTGTGTCTTTATAGTGCTATCACAATGTATTTATTTTAATGACTTAGATATGCCAAATGTGAGCTTTTAAACGAAAAAACTTCTGGGGACTGTACTTATCATTTAACTATATATGCATAGTCAAATATACACTGATCAACCTGATTTATAGATAAGTCTCAATAGTATAATTATATGGATAAGTAAATTGTGTCTTAGAGATATTGGAAAGTAGAAGGTAACCTAATCACAATAAGGTAAAATTTTATGTGAAATATCGATGAGGAAATGTCAACAATTAGTTATAATTTACAAGACATAATAGGAAATTATCTGAAACTAGCTTTTATTACAGACTGATATAAGATACGGAACTAGGGGATACTGAATAGTCGTCTCGATATAGTTTGGGATTTTTCAACAGTGCGAACTCATGACTCCATAAAAATGGAATTTTGGACTTTCACGCCTAGTTAACAGCACTGGTATGATCGGATATAAGCTCCCATAGGTACAAACTTGCAAGTGACAAGTATATGATCTAATTATACTGAAAACTATACAGTCAAATCAGCAGATAGATCAGATGTGGAACACATGTGAAACAAAACAACGGAATTACATTGTTGCATAATCATTTATTATAATTACCAAATGTATGAATCAAAATGATTAGGATGTGGAGGTATAACAAAAACAAAACTTACTGTCAAATCATACTGAGTGCAGCCTTTCACAACAGGCCAGTAGTATCCATCTCCTAAGACTTTACCAGACCACAAAAAAATCTGTTGGGATAAAAATTTGAAACATAATAATAACATGCTCAAAATAAAAAAATGGCCAAGAAGCAGGACAAAGTAGAATGTAAATCTGGATTGTATTTAGCAATAAAGTCCTGATCTGGTATAAAAAACTACTGTATCAAATGTCTGATGATGGTTGTAAGTAAAGCGTAAATGACATGATGATCAATTAATAAACGCAAAAATTCTCATGTCTATTAGTATCTTATTTTTAAAATAATCATTTTTCATTAAATAATTTCATGTCCATTATTTTGGATTTTGGTAGTTTTATTTTTGGCACTGAACTCTTCATGTAGAACAAAAAAGGACGAATTGACATCAAAATGAGTTAGTTTATTGCTTAAACACCGTACTTCCTACACTTTTGATAACAATTACATTCATTGGTATTAAGAAAGTCATAAACAGATTCAAATAGTCTTTTTTTCTAATTTAATACAAAGAAAATATCTGTGAACAATTTCAAATTATAAAACGTAAGAAAATATTTTAGGGATTTACTGATTTACATTTTATACATTATTAATAAAAAAGTAGTGACGTAAAATTAAATCAGGATCAGATCATAATCAGTTTATCATGACAGTGAATTTGTGCAACAACGAGATTAAACCTACTTTTCTTCCTAATACATCAAGTATTTGCGAAACAAAATCATATTTGATGAGACGAAGTATGTACATACCAAAGAATGTCTAGCTACGTAATAGAAACTATTCACAGAAAAATTCTCAACCAGAAAAGTTAGGAACTTCTATTTCATCTTCAAGTTAGGTAGAAAAAAGATAATCACACAGTACTAACAATCGTTGGATCTAAGTAAAGAGCTTAAATTGAAGGAAACTATCACATTTCAGATGTATATCCCTTTTATTACAGGATAAATTATAATTATTTTTACCCATTATTCAAAATACTGTAATCAGATACTTAGATCTGTTTGTACCAACCTTTAATAAAAAGTGGATTAGTCCGGAGAAAATCGATATATATATATATATATATATATATATATATATATCAAATGTTCCTTTAAACTTACACCACAAATAAATTGATAAGAAAATGAAAATGGTTATTAGTAAACACATCTTTGAAATTTAAGTTGCCTGTAAGTGATGTTGGCATGATACAAGTCTAGTAGGAAAATTAAATTCAGGTGCACTAAATTATAGTAACATGATAAATCCCTTCACCTTATTATATTTAAATCATTTATTGGAACTTGGTACTAGTGAATAAAATAATCTGCAAAAATAAAAAGTTTTAAATCAGTTTTGGAATATGTACCAACCTGCTGAAAATTTACGAGCTTTCCAAGGTCATATGGATAGCGAAATGGTTTTTTTTCCCCTATATCCTTTCGCCAAACGTTTGCCTTCAAAAATAATAAGACTAAATAGATTAAGATAGTCACGGTGATGAAACTTCACATATAGATAAGCCACTGATGTGTAAAAGTAATTCAATCTATCTTTTGGTATTGTGAATAGTACATTTAAATGCTACAATAAGCAGAAACAAGATTAACGTTTAAAAGGTATACATTTCGAAATAAGAAGTGTAAATGACTAACATCGACTGTAAAATTATTCTAATTGTCTTTACTTCAACCACATTTAACCATTCAGTTTCCTAAAGTAAGAGTCAAAATAGTATTCAGATTAACTACACTATTGCCTAATGTGAAACACCAAAGTAGTATATTGATAAAACCATGACTCAGGTGTTTTGTACATTTGCATGCCTGACTAATACTCAGGAGTCATATGATTCATATTCAACTTAGCTACTACAATCCATAGCTTAGTTGAACGTCAGAAACACGTATCAGTAGCTGAATCAGATCACAGACGACCACAAACTTAACATGTAGGGTCTTTCTGATAACCCTTGGGCTAAGCAAACTCCATCCTTTGCAGTTTTGATAGGACCGAACAACCGGTTAAAAGAGCTTATAAAAGTCATAAAAAGAAATCTAAGAAATGAGAATACGGATTGTGGTAAAGGACATAAACTAGGATGCTGTTAGGCATGCACATGCAATCTACACTAATACTTGTGAAGCTCACATTATTTCTTTACACGGAACTTGAATAAAGAGGCTGAATTCATGCTGATAACATCGTCGATTGACGGACGAAACTGCAGAGTCAGAGAGGAAAATAGTTGGGATCGATCGCTAATTTTTGCTGCTTAGATTGTATTAGCTTCAAACTTTCTTAACCCAGTAAAATAAACCAGAAATCCATGGATAAAATAGGGTATTGGCTCTAAGGTCAACCGCTTTTTAACTACTTATCTGGCAGGGGACAATATCGCTGGAAACGTTGTTTGAGGGAACATTAATTCCTAGTTTTATTTAATCACTTGGCTCCCACTTCCCGGACAGTATTTCCTATTTTTAGCCTTGGTATCACTGGTACTATGATTATTCCAACTCCACTAATCATCTTGTCAATTTTATCTTGCTGTGCTGATGTGGTGTCTGAAGCTGACTATGAACGAGTTGACTACTATGCGGTACTGTGAAAACTATGACCTCACCTCCGAGTTGGAATTCGTTGTTTTCTTCTCGTCACTTTGCAATCAACTTTGCAAGAAGACCTAAAAACCTGTGCATTAACAATCATACCAAACAAGATTTTACAACAAGCTAATACCGCCCACTGCTTCAAGGTAGCAGTTATAGTCAGGTAACCAGTATCTGGAGTCTGACCGTGACAGCAAAACGTTGTCGGTAAACATAGATTTCCTTGAAAAAAGGGAATCAAATTATTTCCCCATAGAATCAGGGAAACAGTAAACTTACCCAAAATACCTCTTGCGAAAGTGTGAAGTTATCTGGTCGATGGATAAACAGAACAGCTAAAAGTAGTTCAATTCGAAGAAATATATTATGCACGTCTGTATGACATATGGTCATCTTAGGAATAGATACGTGACAAACACGAAACTTTAAGATCAAAATAACTGCTGTCATGTGTTGGAAAAAAATTAACAGAAACTCTAGACTTCGGTTCCGTACTTTTACAGTAAGAACACAACTGCATTTGTAGGTACCAAACTGCTACTAGTACGATGCACAAGAATAGGGTCTAACACTAAGGCCTTAATTGATTGGAGAATGAGTGAACTGAAAATGAGTTTCCTCCAGTCGCTTATGTCATTTTATTCTCTGCTAATTTAATATATAACCCTGCCATTTAATTACAGAAAAAACTATTCTTCTGGTCAGTGGTCATGTCTTTAGACTTAAATCACTCGGCAGATTAAGTCAATTATTCATTTTCGTGAATAACTATCATCAGTCTACATTTTGTATCACTGAGAATCAGATACTGATAAGAATTCTTTCGTCAACTCTAACAATCGAAAATTCGCGTTTTTAATAAAACTCTTCTCTGCAACAACTACAAATGTTGAACACGATTGTACGAACTTGTAGAAAATAAAGACTAAGTATTTCCCTTATAAATGACTTACTTTCGCAACGATCCATGATTCTATTCCTGTTTGATTCCTCGCAACAGCTTTCAACTGGAAAATTGCTAAAATCCCAACAGACAGTGCAACACCCACAGCTAAACCCAAAGCAAATAATGTTATCATTAGATCAGCTATGACGAACAAAACGCTTGATTGAAATCTTCGCAAAAGTAAACTAGGAAACTGAAATCAAACGAAAATGCTTACATTTTATGAAGACCAGCATTTTTAACATAAATTTAGTACTTATGGATTTTCGTACAAACCAAATGATACGTAAAAAAAGAAATATAATCACCCGTGGGCATGGGCCTTTTTCCACGAAAATCGCTCACGGATCTTGAAAAATCATGCACACAACTTCGTGATTAGAAAAAAACAATTTCACCACAAAATTTCACAAAAGTCACGAAATCTCGTAACACGACAGATCATTCTACCAACTAAGTTAGAAATACTACTACTACGAAAAGTTCCACATCATATCTATACCCCCACAAGAGACTAATACATAACTTAGCGAGTGAAATGTCACTAGAATAAGACAGCACATATTAGTTCAACCACTCAGAACCAATTATAAGGCGCACCTACTTTTTAAACACAGAAAATGTGGAATGAAAACGTGTTAAGAGAGTAAGATTAGATTTTTAAGTACATCAATACGATGAAACAAACTCCTTAAGAGTTATAAGTCACTCTGTTCACTATTCCTAAACAAAAAATACACGATATTAGTACTCGACAACTCCCCGAATAATTCAGAAAGCTGAAATCTACATAAGTATTCCTGTAACACTCTAGATATATCGCCTTGTTCCATCACGGCCAATGTTATACTTAAAGAAGGTATTAGATAGAAAATTTATTAACCTTAATAGCTATTGAAGACTCATAATAAAATGAAAGTACGGGCCATGAACCATATATTTTATGAGTTTTCAATATTACCCACTCGGATTTATATACAGAAACATAAAACAATTGCCATATAGGTGTTCAGCCTTAGACTGTAGATGCAACACTAACTGTAAAAACCCGCCTTGATGATATATCTGGAATTCTAGTCTGATGGAAACAATGATCGCTTGAAACAAAATCTCTTCAAGAACCATCTTTATCTAATCTAAACCCATTTTAAAAATAAGGAAAATTATTGAAGTTATCAACCAACACCGTCATTTCAAATGTGAGTTGGGACACAATACTCCTAATAGCCACCACTGGTATCACAATATGAAAGACAGATGCTTCACTTGATATATTTGATTAAATTATGGTCAAAAATTCATCCCATATCGGTTGGCTTGACAGTAACTGTTTTAACTCGTAATTTAAGAAACTAGTTGAACATTTATGTAACCTAAACATCGGAAATTCCCAGTACATAATTTCGGTAACTGTAGTTTGCCTACATAGACAGTTTTATCATGATATTACGGGCAATGTCATCAGTGAACCTTTTAAAGGTCAAGTTCTGGTAGAACATTTCACCTGGTAGCGTATTACTGTCCACCAAGATAGTGAAAGCTTTGTGAATAAATCACGGATCCCAGGGAATGCGGCAATATTAAGATTTCTTGAATCATGAAACTAAAACTCACTTTCTAAAGTTGTATATGCTGATAGGCTTCAAGAACATGTGAACACAGAGACCTGTTAACAAAATTTTACATATGTTGACAAGCACAAATACCTATGAAAACTGGAGATCTAATTAAGGTTTCTTTTACAATCCATAAAGACCGTGAGTGCTAAAAACATCAATAAGCATTATTACTCGAGAGCTACTTATTTAGAAAATCCTAGTCGTTGAACAATTTTCAGCCAACAAAAATAAAAGTTGTAGTATCACAGATAACGAAACTGGATCGATGAAAATACTTTGTGGGAATTCCATTCATATTTTGGTTAAATTTGTTTATTATTCAACCGAGTCATGCATGTAAAATCTACACCGATCATCTAAATGTGATGAATGTTATCATTTATTTATTTATTTCATCACATAGATATTTGTACAAAGAGGCACCAAATACATATGCGCCACACAAATCTCATTCGATATGTGTGAGGGCTTTGATACTGCCCGGGTGCCCAAACCGAAACAGGTGGTTTTCTTAGGGGGCCACACCCGGAGCCTTCGACCTGAGGGTCTGATCCACAAGGCAGTGGAGCATCGTAAGGAGATGCAGTCCCATGGAAGCCGGTGACCAACAATTGGTTCATACGCCATTTGTTCTCGCAAGATACTGGAGCCCATGTGCACCATTGATTTGGAATCCGGTTAAAGCGCCGGACATTCGCTTTTCGTCCTCTCATTTTCGTAAACAACACCCCCGCCACGAGAAGGCAGTGAGTAGGACTTCCCTGGCAGAGGCTATATACGCGTGGCCATGTGAGAGCATTTCGAGAAAGAGAGCGGACTCTCCTTACTCTCGGCCGTACCAGGGCATTTGGGGGCCATGAAAAATTTGGAAAAGGAATAGGGAATAGGTCAATAAAGACTGTTTTGACGAGCGATCGTCACGAATTATACGTAAGCCTTTTAGAGTGATATTACCCATCAATTGATTCAGTTAACGAATGATATAAACACTTATTAGACCACAGAGAAATTATTTAAACTGCCGTAAACACTTGGGACTGTTGTCGGTCTCTTATGGTAATGAGTTTACAAGCAGGGAAAAACATTAAAATAGATGGAGTCATAGGTTCATTTCTCTAATCCGACGGGTGAATGGCACCAGTTAAAACGAAATTAATGTCGTTTACAGGGTGTACCGATCTGTGACCAGAGAAAAAAATGAAACAAACCAAAACTTACGATTGCTGGACTTTGATATATAGAAAGCGATAGTGATATACAAGAGGTGATGCATCCGAATGGAGCAAACAACAAAAAGATCAAAAAGTATTTATGGTTAAGATGACCGCAACATGTATTTATCCAGGGGCAATGATGGTCCATTTTCATTATACACCGGTTGCAAGCTCGACAATGATGGGCTCGTGGAGGCTTAAAACCTTTACAAACATTACAGAACTGAAGCTTCTGTTCAGCTGAAGGGTCACACTAAAAAACGAAAATCAGTAAAAAAAAAATAAGTTACAGGATGTGTAGAAACAATGTGCAAGAACCTAGAATGCTTACGAATTTCTGTCTCCCAGATCCAACAGTAATAATGATTGGAAAACCATGTTTTATCCCACAACTATGGTCGCGATAGTAAACCTGTTTATCCTAATATTTTCTTAATTTGATGTAGGTTCAAATTATCACAACTAAAAACACAATGCAACAAAATTCATACTAAGTACAACAGTTATCAAGCCAACGGATTTACATTTATCTATCTTTTTAAAACATAAAGACTGGTGGGAATGGGGACTAAAATAAATATGCGCTAAACGATGAAATGAAATTGTGAAGAGATGGAGGACGGCTGTGGAGTACAATTAAAACAAATGAACAAGAATATTTCAAAACAGGATACCTACTAAAAAAGATATAACTAGTAAAAATTCTTCCAACCAAAGGAGTCAGTCAGTCAGTCAGCTACAACGTAGGACCAGGCACATATGTGCATCGGTCCAGGTTGCCATACCGCATCAACACAACAAGATGAACACCGGAATCATAACAGTGGTTAGGTAAAAGGTGGTAATATATAAGAGAAAGATTGCATATAGAGATATAGTACAAGAAGAAAGAATTGGTTCGTAGAAAGAAAGATATGAAGCGATTTTAATCTCATACTTTAAGGGAAGACAGGGAGTGTATACACCGACGCCATTGTGATCGATTCTGAGCCATGTCACCAAGAGTCTCCAACCATTGGTTACGATAGTCACGCGGACCCCAACCAAGTAGTCTGCATCTACCAACATGGCTCAGACTAGAAGTTAGTGACTTCAAGCACTGATGCCACGTTTTGGTTTGGCCGCCCCTAACTTTCTTCCAACCATTTCCAATACCGGATAGCATTGCACGTCGTGGTAATCGGTGTTCAGGCATACGTAACACGTGGCCCAACCATCTCAGTCGATGAAGATTCATAACCTCATCAACTGATTTACCATCCTTTCCTAATACCCTGCGTCTAACCTCACTATGACTTACCCGGTTATCCCAGCAGATGCCAGCAATATTTCTTAGGCATCTGTGGTCAAATACTAATAGCTTACGAGTGTCTTCTACTCTCAATGGCCATGTTTCGCTGCCGTAAATTAAAACAGAACGGACTGCCGCGCAGTATACTCGTTCTTTTATTGATAGACGGATATCTCGCCTTCGCCACAGGTGACGTAAGTTGGCAAAAGCCAAACGAGCTTTTCGAATCCGTGCTGAGATTTCGTCCGATACCAACCCATTGGGGCTGATCAGACTTCCAAGATAAGTGAAGTTGTCATCGCGTTCGACTACTTCACTCCCTATCCTTAGTTCAGGTGTTAACGCAGACCAGTCCTGAAGCAACAACTTGCATTTAGAGGGAGAGAAGCGCATTCCAAACATCCTGGCATTGTTGCTCAGTGCTACCAGAAGACTCTGCATTTTGTCAGCGTCTTCACCAAACAGGACTATGTCATCTGCGTATTCTAAGTCGATAAGTGGATCTCCTGGTAGGAGATCAATACCCGAGAACTCAGTCGACGAGAAAGTTATTTCCATCAGTAGATCTATGATGAAGTTAAACAAAAATGGGGAAAGTGGACATCCTTGACGGACACCACTTGAGGTTGCAAAACTAGATGACAGTTCGCCATAAGCTCTCACTCGACTAGTAGTGTTCGAGTAAAGAGCCTTTACAAGGTTTATGTACTTCTGGGGTACGCCTTTCAATGACAGACACTGCCACAGAATCTCGCGGTCTACCGAGTCAAATGCTGCTTTTAAGTCAAGAAAGACCACCATCGTCAGACGCCGATAAGTATGCCTGTGTTCTAGAACCTGACGAATGGTGAATATGTGGTCGATGCAGCCACGACCAGGTCTGAAGCCAGCTTGATTTTCTCGTGTTTGCAGTTCACGAGTTTTAGTTAGGCGTCTGATTATTATTGAGGCTAGTATTTTAGATATTATATTAGTTAAACTAATCCCTCTGTGGTTGTCACAGGATGATTTTGACCCTTTCTTATATATTGGGACGATAAGTGATTGTGACCAGTCAGATGGAATAACGTCTAACTCCCAGATCTTAGCTAAAATATTAGTCAACCTAACCGCTAAAACTGGACCACCATCCTTAAAGACTTCTGGAGCCAGTCCATCTGGACCAGCAGCCCTTCCTCGTTTCAGATTATCTATAGCCTTTTGAACTTCCGCAAGAGTTGGGGGACCTACTTCAATGTTCCATTCACGCTGTCTGGGAATGGAGGGTAGTTGTAGAGTAGCTGAAGGCCAGCTGAACTGTTCCCTAAAGTGTTCCGCCCATCGTTCTAAACGCCTGGACTGGGAGCAGATGAGAGTGTCGTCTTTTTCCGATATAATCTCACTTACACTTGACTTATTAATTCCAGTTTCTTTTATTAGTCTGTAAAGCTGTCTTGTGTTCCCTATAGTTGCCGCCTTTTCCATCTCTTTTGCTTTCGTTGCCCACCACTGCTCACAGTCGTTTCTTAGACTTTTTCTTAACCTAGATCTGATTTGTTGTCGCTCTTTATCATGTTCGGAACCTGATGGGACGAGTTTGCGAGAATCCATCAGTGTGATAGACTTTGAAGAAATCAACTGGTTCTTTGAAACTCTGTGGTTTAAGTCGCTAATAGATGTCACTGCTGCTTGTATGTCTTTCCAAGCAACATCTGGGTCAGCCTCGTCTTCAGAACTACCTAAGTGTGAACTCAGTTGTTCTTGGAACCTATTTTTGGTTTTCTCGTTACTCATTTCAGTTCTAACTGGTCTTTTTAATGTGGCTTTTTTGCGTCCGGTGAGGCGCAAGCAGATGCGTGCCCGTATTAGGGCGTGGTCGGAGTCCAAGCAGGTACTCCAGAATGAGCGACAATCTTCTACCGACCCTCGCCAACGATGACTGATGGCAATATGGTCTATTTGAGTCCATCGTTGGTTTGGTGTAGGGGCTCGCCATGTTAGACGATGTCTCTCCTTATGCTTAAAATTTGTGTTTGCTAAAAATAAGCGATTGTCTGAGCACAGTTGCAGCAGACGATCACCATTATCTGTTCGCTGTGCCGGAATGCTAAAATATCCACCTAAATGCCTTTCTGTTTGGTTTAAGCTACCTATCTGAGCATTAAAGTCACCCCCTACGAGTACTATGTCTGAGCGTTTAGCTTTCTGAAGAAGTTCGGACAGCTTTATGTAAAATTCATCCTTCACTTCATCTGAGCTGCAGTCAGTGGGAGCGTAGGCAGAAACGACAAAAAGGCAACGACGTGTGTCCCTATCCTTCCGAGTTCTTACGGAGCCGTTTAGCCGAACAGCACATAGACGACTGTTGACGGGGATCCACTCTAGCAGTGCTTGTTCCGCCCTCATGCTTAGTGCTATGTCTACACCTGCCAGTCCACGAGAAATGGCCATCGGGTCACCCGGTACACGAAGGGTGTATCTAGTTGGCTCTCCGTTTTGCCGAGGTGAGGTCAAGTGAATGACCACACTGGGATCCTGTATGCGTGTTTCGGAGACACAGCATATATCGATGGAAAGAGACTCTAGGGTTTTAGCCAAGGAAGCCTGCTGACCGATTTGACATAGAGTGCGTACGTTGAAAGCTCCAATGTGTAGTTTGGAGCGAGGTTTCAGTAGACCTGGGACAGAGTTTTGAGCACTAGAATCGTTGGCTATGGTGACACTTGAAGAAGAAGCCGAAGGAGGAAGTTTAGGGTTGAAAGTCGATGTAGGAGGAATAATAGGAATTGAAGAGGGAGGTTGATTATGAATCCAGTGGTCTTGAGTGCTGTTAGAGGTATGAGGGCAGTTATCACTTCCCGGTTGCCCACACCGTGGAAGGGTATTTCTTGAGGAACCTGAAAAGGAAATTGGATTAGTGTTGGTCTTGACGACCTCGGAGCGTGACCGCAGAGCTCAAGGGACAACTGCTTGAGGCCGGTCGCGCACGGCCTTTTTGTGGAAGGTTTTTGACGTGTTAGCTCCGTTCTTCAAAGAGCCTTACCGCCGGAGACGGAAATCCGTGAGGTAAGGCGAGGTGTGCATTTTTAGGGTTGACCTTTTCTAACCCCACCCCTCCTTGTGGGAAGGCAGCATCGCTGTCATGCTGGTTGTCTGAAGGAAACACCTTACTGCTGTCACACCTCTCTGCAGTCAGCAGTACGACTTCGCCTTCGGACCTTAGGTTTGTTGCTTTTAGTCTTACCGCTCTTCAACCGACCTGTCTGACATGGTAGGACCTTGAGGAACGGTTGTTCCAGCCAGTATAGCTCGGTTGCTTCATCACGATAGGCAAGCCCGACCACCACGTCAAGGTAGCAACAACGGTCGGGACCAAAGGAGTCCCCTATACTTTTATAAAGAACACGGAATAAAATTATAGAAGGATCATTTTTATCCTCAGTTATATCTGATAATGTCTCGAGCCAATTAACTGCACCATTTCTAGGACCACAACCAGGGAGTCGTGACGGACCGAGAGATGTCCTCAACAGACGATTCCGGAAAAAATCTGTCTAACGGATCGAAGACGGGACTGATATCAAAAATTACAGTAGTTGACCTGCAATAAGGCGGTTTCCTAGCATTTGGGGGAGTATAAATATATAAGTACTACAGCCAGGACAAAAGATAGTCTTCTCCTCGAGAGTCAGTTCTCCATGGACTTTGAACAATCTACGAATTATGATAGACGTCAATAGTTTAGACGCAATTGAAGATTTATCCACCTATAATCGTTGCATAGATTACGTAGTCTTTTTAAAGATGGGGACGACTGTCGTCTTAGCCCAGGATATTAGAACATTATACTTCCCAAACTCTAAAACGGAGATCAGATAAGTTTTATTTGTCTTCTTTATCAATAGTGTAAAATAGAAGCTACTAAATGATAACTACATGTTATTATTCATGATTGTCTTGTTAAAATACTTTAGAATCTCACC